TGGGGGCCAGGCTTGCTCTGACCTTGACTCCTGCGTGGGCGCGCTCGGCGAGGGGTGGAGCCAACGGCCACGCGTGTCTTTGAGCGCTCGTGACCCGCCCGCGCCCTCGCGGGGCCGCAGGGCTGGCAGGAGTCGCCCCGGCGCAGAGGACGCCCCTGCGGGGGAGGCTGCGGCCTGAACTGCGCCCCCGAGCCCCATCTGGAGCCCTGACCCCGGGACCTCCAAGGGGACCCCACTCCGAGCTGGGACCTTTACAGATGACGGGGCTCAAGCTGGGTCCCGGGGGTGGGCACCGGTGTCCTTATCAAGAGGGGACACGGGTGGACACGGAGGACACCCGTGCCCGTGGGGACGGCCGCCTGTCTGCAAACCGAGGACAGAGGCCTGGGACGGACGCCTCGCGCCCCGGGAGGCACCGCCGGGCGCCCTGAGGCCTCCGGCTGGACAGGAGAGAAGTTCCCGAGTCCTCGCAGCCGGCGCTGTGCTGACCGGNGACCAGCAGGTTTGGGGGCGCGGGGGGGGGGAGCCGACGGGCCTCCCCGGTCCCGGCTGCCCCCGCCTCGCCCCCCGAACCAGGTTCGCGGTTGTCATCATTTCACAGGGCTGGGCACTGTAATGACCCAGATGACGCTGGTTCACTTCTCTGGTTTTGGTTTGTTAATCCCCACGGGGGGGCATCGCTGTGAGGGAGACGTCGCTGGTCGCCTCCCGCACGCGCCCTGACGGGCTGGGCTCTAAGGTGCCGCCCAGGTGCGTGCCCTCGACGGGGAATCGAACCCGCGACCCTTCGGTGCAGGGCCGACGCTCCGACCTGGCCGCGGCTGGGTTTACAGCTTTACATTGACCCCAGAGCTGGGAAATCTTTGGGTTTGATCAGAAGGTGGTGGGTCTGTCCGAGCGAGCGAGCATCGGGCAGAGGAAGAGCCCCTTTCTCCGCGTGAGTTTGAAGAGCAGTGAGTGCTGAGTAAGAAAAGGTGACTTCATTCTACTCCAGGTTCATCGAGCAGTGTTCGGGTTACGTGTCCTATAAAGCGTGTCATTTAAACAAGTGCAATAAACTGATTTTTAGCAAACAGCACCAGCTTGACTCATTTCACGCAACAAGTGTTTGGGTGAGGTGTGGCTTTTCGGGACATTCTGCACAGCGCTGGGGCAGATCAGTGAGTGAAAGCAGATTCCGTCCCTTCTGGAGCTGGTGCCGGGTGGGACATAGCTAATCGAGTAACTGCAAGTAGATGCAGCTGTGACGTGAGTGACCGGGTCCGGGCAGCTTCTCAGGGAGACACCTGGGTGGGATCTGAGGCATGAGGTTCTGGGGAGCGGGGTCACCGCCCTGTGACGGGGAGGCAGCGAGGGGGATGTGGGCCGTCGCCAGGCCCTTGGCCGGCCTGAGAGTGTCCCTGGACTTGCCTTTTGAGAAGGTTGTGTGTCAGAGGGATGGTGAGGTCTGAGCGGAAGGAGGGAGGCAAGTCAGGAGGCCGCCGTGTCTCCGCTGGTTTGGCCTGAAGGATGGGGGATGATGTCTGGTACCACAGGCCCTTTCCTGGTTCCTAGATGGAGCCTCCTCGCTGTGTCCTCAGGTAGTGGAAGGGACAGGGAGCTTCCTGGGGTTTCTTATAAGGACACTAATCCCATTCATGAGGGCCCCACCCAATGAGCCCCACCTCCCAACACCATCACATTGGGGCTCAGGACTTCAAATGGGAACTTGGGGAACCTGAACCAGCCTATAGGACTCCTGGAGCTGTCTGCTTGTCTTGCACCAACCCCGACATAAGCTGGGCCTCTCCCTTGACTCCCCGTGAATTATCGGTTGCTGCCTAACAAGGAGCCGCACACACTGGTCCTCTTCCTGTGTCTGGGTCAGGGATCCAGGTGTGGCTCACCTGGGTCCTCTGAAGGCTACAGTTGGGGCCAGGCTACTGTCTCCCATGGCTGGGCTGGGAGCACCTGCTTCTGAGCACACGTGAGTGCCTTGTGGCCGCCGTGGGGTGGAGGGCACATCCCCCAAACCCTTGCTAGGGTAATGCTTAAATCAGACTGACTTTTTTGTGGCAGAACTTGAAATTTCGCATCCCAGACCTGCAGTGAATAATTCCAAAGTTGAATTGTATAGGACTCTGTTCTTAAAAAGTCCTGGGGGAACTTCTCCACCATGCACTCCGGTGCCTCCCCGTCCCCTTCCTCTCCGCTCTTCCTCCTCAGCGGCCTCCCTGTGCCCCATGGTTTCTGCTCCACACCGGAGAGGACTGAGATCACTCCCCTGAGACGGCTGGGCTGTGAGAGTAACAATGATCGGCGTCCTGTCTCTGGGCTCTTACCGCGTGCTTCAAGCGCCATTCTCAGCCTGCCCCTCCCGTGCTCACCTGTAGGCTGCAGCTGAGAAAATACCACCTTGATTTTAGATTTAACGGACTTTGCCCGGTACAGTTCCCACGGCTGTCCCAGAGTGAGGCCTAGTGTGTCAGTGAGCCAAGGGTTCCTGGGGAGACTCGGGTGGCACCAGGGTCTCCCCCAGAGCCCATCTCAGGTCCCACGCCCCACGATCCCCAGAGTCCAGGTGCACGCACAGGGTGCCCAGCAGCCCCCAGAGGCGCCAACCTCTCCTGGAGGTGTGGGTGCCACAGGGAGGTCCCCTGCAGAAGTAACCGCCATGTAGGATCTTGGTGGGCGAACTGGAGTTGGGAGACGAATGTGGCTCTGAAGATGGATCTTTGTAAGGCTTGGCCACCAAGGTTCTAGGGGTGAAGTGAGGACCCCCAGACCTGGGGAATGTAAAGGCTGCAGGGGTGAGCTGGGGAGGCAGTTCTTAGGAGAACGCCTGAAATGGGTGCCTGAGTGGCCTCAGAGTCTGAAGGTGAGAGGCTGGCAGGAGCTGCCACCTTGGGGATGTGAGGATGGGGGCTGAGTACAAGTCATGGCTGAGAGAGGCCTTGGGGTCAAGCTTCTGGTGGGCTTGTGCACCCAGCTGGCCACAGCCCCCTGAACCGGGGAGGTCCTTGTCTTGCAAGGACACTGTCCAGGGTGAAGCATCCTACAGAGAGAGGGTATGCGGGTGCCTCGGGATCAGAAGGCCATCCTCCGAGAGGGTCACCCCCATCCCAGGAAACAGCGCATGGGGAGCTCCTTGCAGTCCTGAGAGCAGGAGCCCTGGAGCATCTGTGCCCCGAAGTCCATCAGATGAAACGGCCCTTTTCTGCCGTCCTGTCCCCTAGACACCCAAAGGGGCCAGGTCAATGGGAGGAGGGGGAGGGGACATGGAGAAC